TCTGTATGTATGAATGCTTTTATGTATGTATGAATGTATATATGTATGTATATATACTCCGTTAAATATACAAAAATTATTATACAAACGCATATCCACATCTGCTTTGTAAACTTCTATCTGCCAAACATGCACGTGTTCTGTGCTGAAATCTCGAACCAGATAATTTGTAAATCATTTTATTCAATTGCGTTTCCACTTTCCATGTTGGTTCGCAGATGTTAGGCACATTTATGCGGAAATCAATTGACACCAAATGACTCCACATGATTACTAGCAAAGGTTAAATGGTGGATGAGATGGTGCAAACACTGTGTTTGGTGGGCCACAAAAAAAAATTCTTGCCAGTGCGATGAATAACATTCATATTCGGTATTTCACAGCTCTATTCCGCTTTGCTCGCATGCGTAGTGCTCTTGGTGTTGGTACAGGCTTATAAAATTATCCACCTAATATGAATCTACCATAGTCGTACCTGCATCCAGATCTCTTCGCACATCTATTGCACATACCCCATCTGAACAAAAAATGCGTAGTACTGGTCTCAGCTTACTAAAACGATACATTCGAACATACTAAGACGTGCTCACAGGCCCTAAATAAATGTGGCGCATTCATTATAGCATATCATAGTATACGAATTCCACTTGGCTCTCCGAGTGCCTCCTTATGAGCATACTCCCGTTCAACCAAGTTTTTGATACTAAAGGTGAGATACGCCCAGTAACGTACATATACGCATTTGATTTATAGCTTGCCATGCGCAAACCCGTACATACTTCCTTGACTTAATTCCTTAGATACAATAGTATCAGCACATAGACTCGAGCTGGAAAACACTTGTACGCATCGGGTAAACACGGACTATATTGAACATCGTAAGAGTCTGGGAATATGTCACAATGGCGTAGGGACGTTCAGGATAGTAGGGCACCAGCAAATCAACCCATTTTCCTTCATACTACCGGCTGCTATACTTATCTACTTGTCATTCGTCAACGAGCCACATAGAAGTTATGGCTAGGTCAGCTTAGTCTATGGTTTGTGCCGCGTTCAGCGGTGCCCATGCCGCTTTGTCAATCTCTTTGCGCTTTTACTTGATTTTGTACTTTGGCACCCACCCCACAACATCTGTAGTGGTACCCACTCCGCCATGTGTTGTTTCCGTACGGTAACACACGCGTATCTCAATTCGGTCCTTTAGCGTGAGCGTTGTTTGCAGTGATGACCAATCGGTCCACCATGAGCTATGTTATGGGCTAGACTTATAAGTGAGTCACCGTACGCCAAACCTCTGTGTGGGATAACTTACTGTGTGTTGTACTGTTAGCGTGTCTCCGGCCGTCTGTGTGTGCAAACAATTGAACATCTCTATTACACATGTTACATACATGTACGAATGCTCTCGAATTCGCACGCACCACGCTCGTCGGTGCTGTAGTAGGTTGGTCCACTTACTGCTTTTACATCTCTCCTGCGCCTCAATCCCCATGACGCACACACGTGTATACTGAACCCAACACCGCCCCTATGCAAGTGCCACAGATATTCCACATCCCGCAAGCGCAAAGGTACTGTCAACTGGACTTTACGTGGGATGACAAGATCACCACCCTGCCCGGCCTCTACTTGGTCACACTGGCGACACTGGAGCCCCTCTCGTACTTCCTGGACATGAAGGGTGTTTGCACAACTGCGTCATTACGCTACGTCAACTGTGTGTTTGCACTGGGTACGGCGGTGTGTGCGCAGAGTATCCTGCGGTTGGTCAATCGACGAGAAGGTGCCTTTGTGGCGTTCACCATGCTGGCCGTGGTGCTGTTTCCGCTCAACTACTTCTCGGGCTTGCTGTACTATACGGATGCAGGGTCAACGTATGTGTGTGAGCAGAGGATCGGTAGAGGGTTATACCGTTCTTAGTTGATATCGGGCGCGTAATGAGCGAGAATTCGTGTTTTTATGTCAGTTTTTTTTTATTGGCACTAGTGCTGTTCTGCATCTCTATGCCAAACCAAGACGTATTTCTACTGTTCACATCGTAATAGTTCGTGGTATTGAAGTGGTATTTGACCTTTCAGTTTGAGTTGTGCAGTTTTCTTATCAATTGTTTGACATGAGACACTGCCCAGCCTATCGCACTATCCACAGCCCTTTGTTTGTACTCTCCTATAAACGATATCCTTAGCTCCCACTACGAAAACCTTACCCCCACGCACATCGCATAGTTGCTTCGTATTACTGTGCTATCTGCTGAGCCTTAGACGCCAGCACATCGCGAGCGCTGCCGCTGGGGTGATAGCCATTTTGTTCAGACAGTCCAATGTGCTGTGGGTGGCCTTCACTGCCGCCAATTGTGTGAATGCCTATCTCAGCACCCGCGTAAAACTCGACATAGCTCGAAGGTACCCTCTGACGCGCAGGACTCGTTCAGGTAGGGCCTCCGATGAACTTTTTTCGATTTTTAGAAGAGATTGTGCGACTTAGTTACACAAATAGAATCGATTATGGCACATTTCTAATTGGGATGAGATTCATCGTTATACCTCGAATATTCATTCGCAAGATCAAGTAGATAAATGCGCAAGCACACTCTATATTTCACCAGCAAGCGCGCTCTAGCCTCCAGCGCTGCCCTGGTTGACTATTAATTCTGACACATTGCAGCACACATGGTTGCATCCGCAGGCATTATTCAAATGCTCACACTTTAGGTGTACCCACAAACAGCACGTGATCCACTCTCGCAGAATGCAGTTTCCAGGACCTGCAACTCCCCTAGCTCTCTGTAACACATTAACCTGACACATGTACATATACGTACACTGATTTCATCAAGCAGGCGCGTCTTCAGCCGTAAACGGCACGCATCCTGCTACCATGGCAAAGCACAGCACCGTGCAGCTGACCTCCTTCGTGCGTGTACTCTTGAGACATCCCGTGGAGATTATACGTGTGTTCTACATGTACGTCGCAGTGGGTGTGGGCTTCCTGGCCTTTGTAGTCGGCAATGGGGGTATTGTGGTGGGTGATAAGAGTAACCACGCCGCTTCTCTACACGTTTCGCAGCTATTGTACTATGTACTCTTCACCGGTGCGCTGTGCGCGCCTACTTTGCTGCAGGCAGTGGTCAACCATGGTAAGTAGACTGCTCGATTGGGTATGTGATATTGCTATCTTACCGGTTATTGGTGATTTCGTAAAAATGCATCAGCTGGCGGTATTCTCCTTCGCTGATAGTATATCAATCAAAGTGTTTGTACGTATGTCTCTGTTTCGGTAAGCACATTTTGTCAGTTTTGGGAAACTTCAAATGAATTATACCTAATCCAGTGGCAACAACGGCACTCTGGATATGAGTCCCTTTTTCCAAGATATATTCCCTAATTATCCGGTGTTTGTCACTATATATCTCAGTTGGAAACGTACAGTACTGGATGAAGATCCTTTTCTATCGTTGTCTACACTTTATTTCTTTCCATCATGCAGCACCAACACGTGACGGTGATGCATACAATCATCACTTGTCAAATTTATGTTGTTTGGTCGTTTCACATATCAGAAGGCCCACTCCCGCAGTTACCTAGTCCTAGGTTGAATTAAATTCATAATGTTGCCATTTTGCGTCTTCGATTCCACCACATCTGTCCCCAAAGCCATGGCCGAGAAAGCGCCCCTCCTAACTGTGCGGAATCTGTTGGTTTTTGGCGCACTCACGATGGGTTGTGCGGCTGTGCTTTACCACTTCAATGTTGAACATGAATTCCTACTAGCAGGTATGACGCTCTAGAGCTTTCCGCAAGTCCGTTGATTCGTAGGTGTGCGCGAATGCTCATTTGTTGTCCAGCCTTTTAGCATGGCTGTCGGTTGTTGAATGCGTGCATGAGATGAATGTTTCGGAGTCGTTTGCTAGCCCTTCCAATTGCACACAGCTGTTGAAATGTTTCGAAATGTGCAATCTTTCTCGTAGGTAATTTCAAGATCTTCGCTACGCGCATGCCATTGTATCCATAATGCTGATATCACAGTCGTCTGCAATCACCTACCAGACAACCGTCACTTCACCTTCTATATCTGGAAGCGCATTATCGGGCACGAAACTTGGCGATATGTCCTCACTCCAGTATACGCTTTGGGGATCCTCTCCGTGTGGATAACACTCAGGCCACAGGTAGGTTGCGCATGCGTGATTGAATGTCGATCACATGTGTGCAATGGGGTGTAAGTGTGTGCTTATTCTCCCTGCTCGTGGAGTTGTGGTCATGTTGGCCTTGGGTGATACGTGCTCTGTCTCGTGCTCTACGTGAAGCTGAATATAACATACAGCTGTGTCATCATTCTGAGTGCCTGCGTTCATACCTGGTGCTAGAAACACTATAATACTCTTCTTAATCTGCATCGTGCCGTTAAGCCAAGTAGTAATTTCCATATTGAATGATTTTCTCCAACCCTGGGGACCCGAAAAACAGAGTGGAGAAGGTCATTACAATTGACATTAGGATCCAACTCTCATGCTATCTTCGTGCCACGCGTATCGATACATATATTGACTCATTCGTTTGCTTGTCTTAGGCTTCCGTTTTGCCCGTCGCTCTTCAAGTCTAACATAGAGTTTATTGCAGATATCTGTAGCCATTACAATCTTGTACTTGCACACATGAAGAGTATCCGCAAGTTATTTGCAAGCGCATGATGTAGAATCATTTACTCATTTTTACCGATTCTCTACGCTCGTGCATGCTTAGGGCGCTGTGTTCCGAACTGTTTTCTTGGCAGTGGTAGCTGCAGTGGTGATTCCACAACGACTGCTCGAATTCCGATACTTCATCGTCCCGTATATCATGTTCAGACTCCATTTGCAACCGGTAAGGTGTTCAAACACGTTCAATTTGCGATAGTTTATGAGTACATACGTTTGTACGTAGGCGGACATCAGTATATGATGTACATACTGATAGCATGGATCAAGCGCAGAATTGGTTTCTTTGTATTCGATATGTTAATATACATGTACGCACTATCGTCCGCAGTATATGCTTGTCTTCAGATCTTAACTATATTTTTGAGTTTGAAATATTTATTTGGGCGTAAACTCGTGATGACAGTAAAAAAATTGCTAACGCGTCTTATTATGTTTGCGTAAACACAAAACATCGTACGTATACATAATTTTGGTTCGAGTTCAAAGTATACAAACGTCATTGAATTGAAGCGAGTGTGTATGACATGCACGGTTCTACATAAGCATATACTTGATCTTCCTATGCTGTATATATTGATATGTAAATAAGAATATGTATACGGATTATAAACTATTTTTGCATTGAATACGAAGTGATGTGTTTGTATCATTTATTAAGCTTTTTAGTAGCAATATATATTGGGTACTGGATTTTTTCCGAACGGATAATGATAGAGACAGACATTGCAAGATATCTGAGAAACATCACACTCGAGGCTCCACTGTGGTGCTGCTTCATATTCATGTGGGTATCTGTGCATGCATTGACTAATACTTGATGAAGTCACTTGTAATATAAATCAGTTCATTTGTATTCGTATGAGTCACGCTCAGAAGTTGGATTATACATGCGTGAGCATTCAAGTACAGGTGAATTATAATCCTCATATACACGCTTATATGCTCATGCCCACTCAAATGGCCTCTACATATGCCATCCCAAGGTTTGTCCCTCATGCGTAAGATGCTGGTGACTGTATTAGTTACTCTCAATTTTAGTCACAACTCCACTTCGGCAGATCACACATATTATCAACATGCATCTTGCGTGCCTTTACACCTCTAGCCTCGCCTTCCGGCTAATGAGAAGTATCGGTAATCCTCCGCAAATGATTTTCCTAATCACTCTCCCATAAACGCATACCAAATACTAGACTCAAGTACCAGCCTCAGTGACGCATTTGCATGCTTTCCTTTTTTCCAGGGGCCAGCTGATATGCGGGTGACTGACCCGTTCCGCTTGGTTGCACCTATACTGTTGGAACTGGCTATCTGCTCAGCTATTAACGTACTATCTTTATACGCCTTCCTGTTTTTGCCTTTCTCATGGGGTGGATCCGACGATGTGCAACGTTTCATGTGGTAGTGTATATGTAATTGAAAGTACATTAAGCATGCATGCGTTGGGTTACTTAGCTAACCTATGCGCTAGAGTAAGAGAACAATAAATCATACTACACAATTGAATGAATGGATTAAGTAGTGACAGTGTAGTGTCGCAAGTTTTTCTTGTACTTCTAAGGCGGAAAGTTGAGTCCACGTTTATTGTTGGTCGGTTTTTCTGGTGTGCAATCACAAGGTTAAATCAGCCTCTAGTGTTAAATATACACAAGGGCTGGACCTGTCATTCTACTAAAAACCTGGTCACGACGAGTTGCTACTTTTATACGGCATACATTCATCAATATGCATTTCTGTTGTATGTGTGCTCAGATTTGGTATGTTTTGTCGTTGATTTATTGTTTTGAATGTACACGAAGTCTTTCTCTCGGGCAAGTTTTCTTGTATCCAATCATGTTATAGACCAGTGGAATACCAGTAGCATCGGACGACTGATATTCTATAACTAACGCTCTTGAGTATGAACGTACACTTGGTGATGCCTGTAAAGTTTTCCAATCGGGCTTATAGAGTCAAGACAGAAAGCATCTTGCTACTTGGATTCTGTCCAAATCATACACTGCATCCGGAGGTCCAGATAAGAACTTGATCACACTACGGTACTATCCCGATTCGTGAAATTGGCCGTTATTAAACAATCGCGTCCATGAAATTCTCCACAATATCTACACTAGGGACTCAGGAACTACCAAACCTGATACTTGAGTAAATATATCTGTTTCAGCGTTATTACGCCCGCCAAAACTTAAGAGTCTATGGGTTATGGAGGATCAGTAGATCAACATAGATGCCAGAATATCTATCTGAAGGTCACTAATTGAAGTGGCCATGAGCCCATTTCAGCTTTCGGTGGATCCTGCGTAATATGGAGTCGGTCGTATAAAATACCTTTTACTTTGCATAGGACAACAAAGTGTGTACCTAGATAACTGCTTTGAGACTAAAGATGCGGCGAATTTGTAACGCACAAAAAGGAGCCCTGTGCTTTTTGTTCTCGGTTCATGTATGCCGAACTAGTGGCGCAGTGTTCAAGAAAAAAATCCGAAACAGCGCTTTCGATATTTATCGATTAGGCTAGCCCAGAATACATGAACGCACCTACAGTACTTTCAGTAGCTGGGTATGTCTTGCACTGGCTACTATTCTCATTCTGAGAAGGAAAAACTCACAATCTTTGATTTTCCACCTGTGACCTAGGCAGAAATGAAATATAGACCGCCAGTTTATAGATCTAATACGAGCTGCGTCTCGAATTATACTTTTCTACACGATCTCCTTTTCTATGCCTTCTGTATTGCCCTGGAGGTTCATGTGATCAATTCAAGAAGTCTGAAACATAAAAGAGTTGTCCAACAATTTTCCGATTACAAAATAAAAAAAATTGAAAAGTACAAATAGTGATATTATTTTTTTTAATTTGGATAAATTTGTATGTCTACATGCACAACAGGCTTCATATTTCTAGGAGAGGTTCTGGGAAAATTGAAGGGAAGTTAAGATTGTCGAACTGCCGCGAGAATCTCGGGGCGAGTGATGCACCGATAGAAGACATACGGTGCGTTACTTCACGACGATGGATACAGACCTTGTGCCATTGTGTGGAATAAAGCTGGCCGACGATCGTAGTGGTAATATGGGCTGAGTTAGTCTGACATATTTTGAACATGATACCAAGAAGGGTGAGGTTGTCAGCCGCAATTTTGCTTCGGAGCGAAGTTGGAGGCTGCACGATACCACCCCACACAACTGATGCATTTGGAATATCCTGGCCCAGAAGTCTCGAAGATTTAGTCTGTACCGAAATCTGGACTGGAAATAAAAGTTCAATAGAGTGATGAGACGCGGTATGGGGAACATCAGTCTGTCGATCAGTACTGGATGGGGATAAATTGGTGCCCACTGTTCATGGAAAAGGAAGCTCCCGAGATGTTCGTGGAATGTCCATATGCCGTGGTAGTCATGTCGATTCTGTAGTTGCTGCAGTAAGTACGGTCCAATTGGGGGTAGATTAGGGCCCACCAGAACATGCCTTAATATGAAACTGATACAAGCAAATAGGCTGCGCGTAAAATTCTTATCTCCGGGGCACACAGGACAGAGGCATCCACCAGTACGAAAGTCAAGCAATTTGAACAGGAACGTGTTGGTTGCTATCATGGCACAAAGGCGGATTGAGGTGTGCTCACGGCAATGAGTCAGTAAAACTATCATTGGAGGGCTTGTCCTGGTCCGTGATGAGAATTTTCCCTTTACAAGTCGATAGTGGTATTGGTGGCAAGCCTTGGCTGCTATCTCCTTAGTTGTAAGATGTTGTGAGGTATTATGTCGGATCTGCTCGTGGAGCTTACGGAGTTCTTTGTGTTGAGGTGTGCACCCGCCCCTTGACTCTAGATAAGCGTAAATACTGAACTGGAATTTGTCCGAAGGTCTGCTACGTGTCCAAGCAGGTCTTGTACGTGGGGTGAGTAGGTTTGTACTGTTGATTGAGTCAAGATGTAGTCCCAGGCAGCCGCCAAGGTACTCCGCAAATTGGCGTGCTGGAGGTAAACCGCAGAAACGAAGAAGCCGTGTGCGCTGGTATATGAGCTTTGGAAATATAATGCCTGTTGTGATAGCTGCTGTTTGAATTAGTGCTGAATTGTACCGCTTGTACAACAGCTTCAACGCGGCATGCCAAATAGGTGGAGCCCATGCAATAATAAGAATGAATGTCGTAAATATTGCAACCGATTTCGCGAATGGCGCCGGCTGAATCCGTAAAACAAACCCATACACCCGGAAGAACACCTTATCCTAGAGTAATGCTGCCACGAGGTGGTCCATGTATTTTACAAAGTTGATACTCGGTATGCCACACTGGGACAGTTGAATTTCTAAGTATTTGGAAGGCTGTGGATACGTTTTAGGGTTTAGCGGTACCGCATGTAGCATGCTCGACGATCTCTTTAGGGGCTTGAGAATCTCTTGTTCTAGACCGGATTGGCAACCCAAATCATCGATCGCGTTCAGGAAGAGTTACAACCCAACAGACTGCAGACCTGGATGTGCGTGTCATCTACACAGAGGTAGAAGCGGAGGAATTTCGGCCGAAATGGTAGCCAGGGAGTCCATAAAAATGATAAAAAGCTGTGGACCGACAATCGAACCTTGGGGTATGCCATTTATCCTATGGAATAGATATGAAAGCTGAAAGCTTTCCACGATACGTCACCGGTGTGGGAACATTCTCGAACAATACACTGTAAATTTTGGTCTATCAAGTCCACTTAGAGTAGTTAAAAGCCTGAGTTGGGTCTAAGTTTAATAAAATTCAAAGTAAAATAAATGAAATGGTGCCTTGGGAGGACGAACGGATGCGTGCTGTTTCTCAGATAGTGAGTTCGAGTAACATAGGGCGTCCGGCGGTCTATGTTGCGGCTATGAACATGATTATCGAAAACTCGGCAGACCATCGTATGGTGAGATGTCTGGGTGCGTCGTCCAGCGAAAAGTCTTTCCTTGCGTTAATGTTTTCATCCGTTTTTGGGATAAGCAGCACGACGTTTGAAATCGCAGGAAAATTCTCTCGTTCTGAGATGAATCGAACACGAATGCTTATCGAGGAGTTCAAAAGGCAAAAAGAGATTGGTTGATGTTGAAGGGATTACGCTATGATGGAAGAGGTCAATCGACGATGATGAAGAAAGGTGTAGACCAAGTTGCGATTGCGCCACCGAGAATGTGGATCAACTCTAATTTCACGATTGACGAGATGTCAACAATGTCGACAAAAGACGCACTATGGGATCCAATCAAGAAGCGTTCTGTTGCCTTAATGTTTTGGCTGCGTGAAGATGATGAGGCGCTAGTGTTTTCGCTTGCAGATGATATCATGAATGGGGCCGCCATTGTGGTCATTCACGTTCTACAACACTTGGCTGCCGGCGTTAGTGCGGATGTCGTAAAAGATCTCCGAACTTATGGACATCTCTACATGAAGTTGGATGCGCGGTGCACAAAAGATGTGTTTTTGACGACATGCATTCATCCCAGCACTGGTTATTTGAACTCAAAACTTATCGTTGACGCTTCGGAGTTCGAAAAGGAGAATCATCACCTAATCGAGACAGGGTACTTATATGTGGTTTTGACCTTTGAGTCTAAGGTTGGGAAAGGTATCTCTGTTGCGTGGCGAAACCCTCGTACCAATCAAATCATGTGGGATGCAACAAATCGATTGGATCCACAACTCCTACATTCGATGCAGATTGCCGAATTTTAGCCAGCTGACTACAGTGCTCTAATGACTCACGAACCACGTTTCCTTGCTAATCGCTTCTAAAAGGAACGATTCATAATAAATAAAAGTTGTTGTGAGATGTAAATAAAGTTCAGTTTTAAGTAAACATATTTCGAATACATCTACCAGACCTTTTTTAGCTCAGTTGTTGAGTCTTCCGGGTGTGATTTGCTTGCAATTGCGTTCCGGTCAAAAGCCGATATGCCTAGCGAATATGCACCAAAACCGACCGATGGTACTCATATAGTATCGCACTATCATTTAGTCTTACCAAAATCCTTCAACAGTGACGTAGTGGGCTTTCCATCTTGCGTGACATACAATGGAAACCAAATATTGTTTATTGAGTTCGTGGCTAAGAAACACGGCTATCGCTATGTGATCGAGTTCCAGATGTATCACAGAGTATTGCTCTTTCGCGATACCACTACGTATCTAACACACCTATACTAGAGACCAGACTTATCGCCGTGTGAGCTGATTCTGCCACACGTTCCTGTCCGCAAATATTACGCTTTAGATATGCGCGGAGATGCAATAGGCAACGGCGCCAGTTTTTTTACTGAAATTCGGATGCACGAGGTCCAGATACTGCACGTCTGTATACGGGGACAAAAGTGACGATTACAAAGACGTGACACCGCTGACTGCGTCCAGGCCAGGGAAAATCAGTTTTCATGTCATTTACCAAAGACACGTATTTTTGTCTATGGCGGAACTAGCGGACTACGCAACAGACTTCTAAACATTTCTGGCACAAAGTGACGTCGAAGCAGTGAGCGACATTGTAGACTGGTCAGTGTATGAACGGAACCAGCTGTTGCGGGCACCATACACTTTAAAAGTAACGACGCACGATGTGAATGGTAAGCGTACGTACAGCAATGTTGACGGGTCGTGCTGAAAATATTGGACGGGGGAGAATGTCTACGGTCAATGTCCACCATGACGGCCACGCGTACGTCTGTAATTTGCTGTCCGGATACAAACGTCGATCATGTTAAGGCAGCAAAGCCGGCCCTACATGCACTCAAACCTAGTGAGACGCATGTAGTAGCATTGCAGACCTGTCCCAAAGAAACAGGCCTGGGGATGGCGGATAAGTTGTCATCAGACATGATTGCTGTCCAGGAAGCATCGATTAGAACGCGCTTCTGGTTTGGTCGATGTAGTGGAGGCGGCTCGAGATTATTTAAGTTTGCTGGACTTGTGAAGTCCATTTTTGGCTTTGAGTACGGGTGGACTATTTTCCCAACTTTTGTAGCGCGTTCAGATTACTACAATGAGAACGTAGACAAGGTCGAAAAAGTTGTGGCGTTTATAATACAGTGACATGCGATTCCAAACTAACGACGGCATCCTTGTGCACAACATAATGATGCAAAAATTGAAGGTCGAAAAACTCAAGGAGAGGGGTATTTATAAATTTTAGGACGATATGTTTTTAATTTGTTGCGAGTATGATACTGACATGTGGCTGCGTGGCGTTAGTTGTCACACATGCCTGACTTACTGATCTGTCTAGGGTGAATGAATATTGTGTTGTGTTGCAAAAAGTGATAGCTGACTTCGCGCTAGTGCTACAAAGCGTTGAACAGCGACAAATATCAATGGATCAGGTGATTCAAAATATTGACAAAGAATCAACGCGGACGTCGCAGTCCATTAAGGTATTCAGTCGGCCACCTTCAATGTGTCCGGCGTCTCATTACAAGCCAATCGTCGGCTAGTGAGCGATATTTATCGAGGTAACCGAGTCCATACACTGGGAAAACTTTAACATGGATACATTAAATCGGAAGGGTTTCTTGCTTCCTTGTTAGATTGTATTACGATTTAAGATTTTTTTTGTAGTGTATGCGTTCTTGGTCGATTGCGACGAGGCAATCGTTTAAAATAGAGCGAGAGAGAGAGAGTAGCCCCCATAAAGGTGTTTTTCTGGGTCGCCGTATTGGTTGGCTATCTTGGTCAACCCGCATGTCGTTCCTTTACATACAACTCGTCTTCTTTTACGGCTTCGTCGTATTCGCGCAAAATTTCTTCAGCATTGGGCATAACCGGTTGCTTGTTTTTTATATTCTTGGACGTCATATTTTATAACTGCAGGGAAATCGGTTAAGTTAAAAATTGTATTAGTAACATGCCCGAACATATTAGATGATCTAGCATGTTGCTGACATGACAGAATAGGTCCAGATACGTTCCAAACACGCTTCAAACATGTTTCTTGTCTATGCGTTTGCGGGGCTCAAATATGGCAGAAACGTGTCACAAATCTGTTACAATATGGTGTTACAATATGGTACAAACTGGTAGAACACGCTGGAGTGTAAAAAAAACGAAAACCGTCTAATTTATTGAAAACACGTTAAAGTATCTATAAGCGCGTTCATATCCACCCGTATTCAATGGGTGTATGGCAATGACGAAGACGAGAATGATGGCTGGAACCTCAAAGCATTCCGAAAGAAATGTATAAAAGCTCTACCGCTAACCCTTTTTAGTGAACTAGCAAGCGCGAGTTTACTAGGTAAAGCTGCTATATCCAAAGCGAAACACTAAGATGGTGTTCTAGCCTTACAGCGAGTACAAGAAGAGCAAGCGGCAGCAGCAGCTGCTGCTGCCAATCTTAGTGTTAGAAGACTAGTAGCATCGTCCATCACGCCAGCAAGTGTCAAGCGTCTCTTAGCAGGGATAAAAAACTATAGACTTAGTAGTTCGATCATGATGTAAGTTTAATTGGAGCTGCAATAATACGTAAACATGGTACGCAGGTTAAATCTAACTACAAGAAATGTGTCGTGTGGGGGTGCAAATCAAGAACTGCACTGACTTCTACGTGATGTCAAGTGCGATTTTGCAATAAAGCCCTGCCAGGTATGGTAAAGAGTTTTTTTGCTCTAGCAAGCGACACTTCAACGCCAACATGAGTCTTCCCCCAACGCCGTCACGTCAAAGATCTAGGCATCAAGCTGATGATGATGATGACGACCCCGACGATGACCTCATGATATCAGCTTAACTAGCTTGATGCAATCAGATAGAGAAAGAATCGCGGATATATATGGTTGCTCTGGACTGCAGGGAGTACCTCGAGCAGTATCCCAAATTCGCAAGCATGCGCCTCGTTACGTTTGCTGTAAACTGTGAGCCTCGATCTATTTGTATGCACTGAACTCGGCGATGACTTAAGATGTACCATTCATCGAAGGTGTATAACATAGCATCCAGAATTGTTGTCGCTTTCGGATCGCGGATCGGATACTCTTTGGCCATGCTAGAAAAATCGTCTATGATTGATACAGAGTGGGTGTTTGATCCTATTGACGTTACGAACGGTCCTATTATGTCCACGAAGACTAACTCGAGAGGCTCTGTAGCAGGTTCGTGCTGTCGTTCCTTGTTTGTATTCTGGTTCTTCTTCTTAGCAATAGTGCATGTTTTGCATCGTTCCTCTGGTTGCCTTATGTAGGGTAAATCTTTTGGGACGTAGCTGGGGTGCGCGAGCCTGTTGTGCCATGAAATCTGATTGGCTTTCTCCAGCGATGGTTCCACTGTAGTCATAGCTATGTCGTCGATGTGCACACAGTATATTCTGTGTTTTTCATGTACTGTTATGGTTCCGAAGCTTGGTAGTAATATGTACATCATGAGGTTGGTGAATTCAAATGAGTAGTGTCGCGCTGAGAGTAGGCTGATACTTAGTAGTGCAGTTTTAAATGTCGTATCAATGAGTACGTCCCCCAAGTTTCCTAGCTGAGCCACATACTTCGGATAAATGATTCTACCATCAGCTACTCCGAGCGCATACCGGTCATTAATGCGCATGTTGCTGACGAGATGATGTTTGTGGTACTTATAGGGAAGTACGTGTATGATGGCGCAACTATCGCAAGCTAGTCAGTTTCCACCTCTGGAATCTCTATCTGACTGATCATTCACATCCTTGTTGGCGCTGATCATTCACATCCTTGTTGTCGATTGTAGGGTTAATTGTGGAGAATGCAAACTGTCTGTTTGCAGGTAACTGGTCATCAGATACTTGTGCTGACATAGCTTTGTCCTGTCTGCCTTCATGAGCTTGGCGTCGATTGCTCTGGGATTTATATGCTCTGTCAATGTCTTGTGAATATTGGATATCTCGTGAATATCTACCATCGTCGTAGTCGCGTCGATTGTACCTATCTCCTCGGTAGTCCTGTCGGTCCTGATCATTGTGATTATCGTAGCGGTATTGGTAGCTGTTGTTTCTGTTGTACTGTTCCACACGAGAACGGTAGTCACGTTTCGAATCAGGTCGGCGATGCTTGTCATTGTTCTTGGACTTAAATCTGTAGTCTCTCATGTCATGACAAGGACCAGATTTGTCAATCCGTCGATCGTAACGTTTACGACCGTCGTGGTCACGACCCTGATTATGTGGGTTACCAGCAACGCATGATTTGATTAGCGTTTGTAACTTACGGCATTGCTCGATGGAATGCCCACGATTGTTACAGAATACACAATTTCCTGTCGATATAGCTGCATGCGCACCGTGCACAATGGTTGATGGGTCACTTTCATCTGGATCCAATGCGATGAGATACGTGGTGAGCTCATCATACGACATGGCCATCATAGTGGGTGTCTTCAACGTAATCTTGACAGTATGATTATCGTCGTTTACAGGCTGCCGTAGAATAGCACATAGACTGTTGTTAGACTTCGTATCTCGGGCGTTCTTGAATTTCACAAATGCCGTGTTGAGACGACTGATAAGGCTGGCGTAAAATTCATTCCGTTCTTGCGTGATGCGGTTCAGTTTTCTTTCTAATGTCTAGATGTCATCTTCGGTCAGGGCTTCAAACTTGCGTTTCAGTGCGGCAAAAGCTTCCCACGGCTTATCAATGAATTGGCTGATCTCCGTCTGCAGTATTGAAGATAAGATGCGGTTGATAATCCGATAAGCCTCAGCGATTTCCTTGGGTGTCCATCGGTTGCCTCTAGACGGGGTCGGATCGGTCAATATTGTAGGGATTCCTTCACAATTCACGGATAGAATTGTCTGAGTTTTCAAAGAAGCCAGTCGACCTTCGATTCGAGAATAGTGGTGGTCTTAATATCCTTAGAGTTCACAGTAGGCATTTTGATAGCGCGAGATCAGAGTGACCTGATAAATTGTTAGAGTGCAATCTAGTAGACTATAAATAAAGTGCAAATGTATGTATTTATTTCTGACCTCACCTTTGGTTTTATACCTAAGGTGTTAGGGCTAGTGTTCAGCCGCTTGGGCTGGCCAGGGTAAAAACTCATATGGTCAGTATGAGAAACCTTATGCGGAACACTTTAACACTTCGATGCTTTTCTATTTCAACTTCTCTGCAACTAAATCTCACGCTGATCACATGATGCCTTTCCGCATAGGTTGTGACTCACATAAAACCGCAGCTATTATTAATATGATATGGTTGACAGGCTTAATCCACTCTCGGGAATCGGTTGAGAAACTAAATCTGCTCTCGGAAGTCGATTAAGTAATGACTCAACTCTTGAGAGTAAGTTGAGCAACTTGATTAGCTCTCGGGAGTGAGCTAACTCTGATGACTTCCATAAATTAAAAATAGTTTCTTGCTGTAAAATCTGGCCTGAGACCTGTAGTCTCTCAGTTGTTGTTCATGTACTGATTTGCGCAGTTTGTGAAACGCTCTGATGTCAATGGGATCATCCGCTGTCTGCGTATACAACGTGTCTACTAGTATGTCTACTACTATCATAGATAGTCTTATCCAAGACTATGTGGTACTTACTCATCGCTGGATCCATCGGAGCCCTTGTTGGTGGGGACTCATCGTCCAGCTGCATGGCTCTATCCCCGTTGTGTGGTGTAGATGTGCGTGACGATGCTTGTGCGACTGGCATTGTGTTTGCTGTCTCTGGACGTGTCCTCGTCGTACGGCTTGTGTTGCCTCTACCCTGTGTTCTGCTTGAGCTTACTTGTGTGTGCAGGCTTCGACGTGCTGCACGTGTCCTCTGACATAGAGCAGAAGTCATTGACTATGCTGTGTGTGGGACGTTTAGTGTTGTGTCAGAGTGTGTGGACACCTCGTGTGGTCTAACATTGAACGTCGAGTACAAGGCCAATTTCAGTAAAATCAATTGTTTACCTTTATTCAAGCTGCCTTGTAATGTTACGTAGTGAAGACGTGTGTGGTGGCTGGCCCTTGGTGTGCTCAACTCAGCGTTCTTTGCAATACCTGGGTTTATAATGGTAGTTTTTGGTTAAAGTGGATAAACTTGGGTTTATCTTGGTTTATTTGTGTACAAGAGATAAACCTGCTTTCTCGTGTACCTCAGTTTGCTGAGATGTCATCTGTGGTTTATGGGTTTTTTTTACTATATTTAAAAAAAATATTGTTTGGGACTGTACCGAACTTCCATTATATACATGTACTCTTCGAACAACTGTAAACAAACCTTGAGTGGAACTGTACCGAACTTCCGTTATACACTTGTACTCTTCGAATCTTTGTAGTGTGGTTGATATTGTACCACACCTCTAATATTTCTAGCGGGTCCACTATTGTGTGGGTTCTGTTATGTGCCAAATTGATTTGTATTTATTTGTGTGTTGTTATAGTTCATGCCAGGCTTGTCCCTGGCTGTTGTGCATGTATTTCTAGAGATTTCATTCACTGTAGTTGAGGTTTGCGTGCAATTTGTACCTAAGTACTGTGAGTTTGTAGGATAGTACTGTGAGTTTGTGGGTTGTTTACTGCTGTACTTCCCTTGTTTGTTTGTGCACTGAGATTGCAGTCTTCATATCTAGACTATAGTGTCTGTTATGTTATAATTGATTTACTAGTCATGTTCTTATAACTAATTTCCCAGTGGTGTTCTTAGAACTGATACGCTAGTGGTGTTCGTCTAGCTTTGTTGGTACAAATGTTTTTCTTGATATTGAGCTTCTTTTACTTGTTACATTAACAGTGCTGGTTCTGTTGGATTTATTAATGCTACATGTGATCTCATGCAATTTGCTTGTTTCTACCTCATGGAGTGAGAGTGTGTGATTCCCATGGAGTGTGGGTTTCTTTTTGTCTGCTTTCGACTTTGGTATTAGGTAATGTTATTTGACTCTTGGTGTCTCTTTTTGACACAGTAGAGTGTGCTTATGCTCGTCTTAGATCTGTGATTTCGGTTACTAGCCTGTGTGATTCTTTAGTATTAGTAACTGTGATTTCGGTTACGAGTCTGTGTGATTCCTTAGTATTAATAACTTTGCGGATATTCTGTGTTCTAGGTCTATACAATTATTCTGCTCGTTCTTCTCCGATTCTAATAATTATGTGTCTTTGGGACATTTGTCTCTTGTGTGTAACTTCTGTTAGATCGATCTTCTGGCGATTCCACTATTTAATCAGCTAGAAATGCTTCTAAATTGAGTTCTTTGTTGCGTTGTTCTTACTTAATTACTTATGTAAAATGCTTTGTTATGGTAATACTTATATGTAAGTACCGTAGCGTGTAATTAGTAGGTCTTAACTGGACTCTTTTTAGTTGTGTGTGATGTTCAATGTCTCTCTCCTTTGTTTGGATATTTCTTTTCAATCTCTATTCTTGTTTGATTTATAAATCACTATGCGTCAGCCAATGTGTGTTGTATGGTCGTGATTATCACTAGTTATTTTGTATGTGATGGTTTAGTGGCCAACTCGCAATCTCTTTTGAGTGTAATGTGCAATGTCCTTGTTGGTTCCGAGCCATCTATTTTTAACTGATTTGCAAGCCAATTCAATGTTCTACCTCGTTGTGTGTAAGTGCTTTCTTGAGTTATGTGCAATTGGTTGCTGCAGTGGGTTATACTCTATGTTCTTCTCTGTACGTATCTATTGTTTCTGCTTGTACTTGTCATGTCTTGTGAGCTTGTGTGAATTCTTCTGCTCTAGTGATTCTTAGTGATCTGGAGCTCGTATTTAGACCATTTGTATGTCTTGTCTTGTTCTTTCCGGTGTGCGTTGCTTCTAATCTTCTGTAGCTTGGTGCTAGTGTGTTTATTACTTCCCAGTATTGGTCATTTCTGTCTTGGTCTATGAATTTCAGCCTCAGAATTGTATCTTCTTGAGTATTGGTAGCCTACCCTGGGTTGCTTATCACTGGTGACACTTTTTGGAATTTTTAATTCCCCAACATTGATAATTCTATCACGTTGACACTTTTGCTGATTGATAACACTGGCACACCCAGTTCCACTTACCAAGGGGTTACCTAGTCGTACTTACCTTTCTTAATAAAGACAGAATATTCGTTTTTTTTTTTTGAGTTTCTCTGGTTCACTCGTCTCAGAGAAGGAGCTCCTTCTTTAGGAGCTCCTTCTTTCCTTCCCAGTTCTTCTTGGTTTGTTCTAGTTGTCCCCTGTATTCTCGTTGACACTGTTCTATTATCTTCTCTTATTGTTTAGGTTAGGTGTCTTCGGTGTTCTAGTTAAAGTTGATTCTTGGGTCTTGCTTTGTGGCTTGTTAAGACTCCTGAGGGGACAGTTAGACCTTTATGATTGACTTACCGTGGTAAAGATATTATTAAAAATGTAGAGTTTGAGAGTGACTGAAAGATACGACCAAAGGAAACAATAGACCTCTTCTCAAGTGCGAATCTCTCAGCTAGATATAAGTCCTCGGCTGAAGGACTCGCATTGAGTCTTTATTTGTGTTTAGTATTTTCTACACTAGACTCAATATTTACTCAAGAGTTTCTCTCACACGCGAGGGTCCCGGTATCATCTACCGGCAATCTCGTTATATTTCTGATCACTCTATCATCAGATATATTGGATCCTAAATCCAAAACTCAGTATTTTGATAATCCTGGGTTTTGGGTTTTGGATTGGCTTTTTAGATAATCTGGCCCCTGGATGCTACATATGTACATATACACTTAAAGCATAAAAAGAAAGTCTGGAACGCGGAAGATCAATCTCACATTGGGGAATGTATATTCTTAAGAAACCTTAGGCTGTAGGTCGTAGTGTTTTCCGATAGTAGTTTTCCAATTGTAAAAAGTAGTGTGAAAAAGAACAAATATTTGCTAATAATTGATCATGATTTGGTTATTCAACCCTAAGAGAGGGTAAAGCTTGAGCGTCTTCTAAAATACGAACTATTTGGAAATTTTATTAAAATTTACTTAGAAAATGGGAATATAAGGATAGTCACTTGCACGAATTTTGGACCTGGGCATTCCAGTTAGTATGCCTCGTGGATGATGCTACTATATTGTATAGCGATCTTACGGTTGTTGAAGGTCGCCCAGATAGACGTGTTGTAGAAATACATAGATACAAAAAAAACACACGACAGAACTCAAATTAACAGACAAATTATCCTCGGATCTATGAATCGATACATGTTTGCTGTCAGTGGTCTCGCTGCGCGCGTGATGGAACAAATTCTTGGTAGGACAGATTCTCGGCATAGAATAAACGTATTGCGAATGTACACAATGAGCGAATCTACTGGAAGAGAAAACAACTTACACACAGGCGTATCACGAAGTAGAATTTTATAAGATAGTGGGGATTGACGATTTAAATGCACAGGGCGAAATCCCTGATATTGGTGCGCGCTTTGGAAAATGCCCATGCACGCCTTTCCCTGACTCTAAAATTTCAAAGACATAGTGCGGATACCGTGGTGCGAGCAAGGATAAATTTAATCAGAAACATGACTTCGTCACAATTACAACAACGGAAGTGTTGTGCCTGGACTATATGATGTGACTGATATCAAACCTGCACATAAGCGACTTCTGGCCATAGTAGCTTTGTTTTCGAGTATAACCAAATCATACTTGCAACTCCCAAACAGCACACATACTTATTGTACAGACCTTGTCAAGGCTTGCTATCGTGAAATAACCGATGAAGACCTACTGCAAGTAGTTTTACGGGTGCCAGTGGTGGCGGTCATGACAGGCGTGGATGATCTCTGTACCCATGATATAGAAAATAATGAAACTGGTTATGTCGACGGCCAACAAGCGCCACAGCCAATATATGCACAAGATATGCAATACAAAATCATTGGTTTGACTGCAGAGGTACAACACCTCAAGCAGATGCTTGAAGAAAGTCTAGTACATCAGGACAGTCGCAAAAATCAACAACAATCATCATTTAAGAATCCGAGCAGGATGGATGAGTTTGAGTTTCCTCCTATACGGTTACCTATACCTAATACAGCACGCAACAATCCCAATACTCGCACACGAATTATAACACGCAAGATAGACAAAACTCTGCATTCTAAAATCTGCCGAGCTATATAAGTGTCCGAGAACTTTACGGAAACCATGGTTAGAATTTGACAGGGGACTAAGGTAATAAGACAGCAAAAAAACAAACAAACACAGAAGCTGAACGAGGATGGTTGAAGTTAATTTATAGTTTCCGGGACAACTTCTAGCGTTCGACGCAAATAACCATTGATCGGGGTCATACTGCTAGGGGGAGCGTTGAGAAGCTGGAAGTTACCTACTGTGCCAGCTTATCCATGTCAAAGAAGTGTAGAACTTTATCTAAGGATGGTCAACAAACAATAGTGCAATAACAATATAGAGAGATAAACAATGAAAATCATTTGGAAAAGTACAAATATTTAAGAAGTACCTAAAATCTCAAAGAACCTAATCATTCGACTTGCTTTATACTTGTGGTCTATTAAGTATAGAGGACAGTACCAAGAGCCGTGAAAAAGGGCACTAGTAGTACAGTATCTGAATTACGCATCAGTGATCCAATTTTAGAACAAACTGGGGGGAAAGACATACAAAACACAGTGATATTCAGAAAGAGTTTGTTCTTGAAGACATGAAGGCCTTATACTTGGCATTATTTGCTACACTATTGTGAAAACCCTAAAGAAAATATCAAAAGCGTACTCATGCACGAAACATTTATGGATCACACATGTAAAAGCGAAAATGAACCAAAACTGATACGGCATGGCTAAATATGAATTGTATGTTTTAGCTTCGGTGAGGGAAGCATTTACGTATGAAGCTTCACTTAGAGACCTGGTAGGTGGCCGTATGAGTGTATATGAAGCGGAAGATAAATATAAAGTAGTTATCCGACAGTGATAACATATCCTCGCCCCAAAAGAAGTCAATGAAAATAGATTGTATTTAGTCGACCGTACCTTGACAAATCAATCCAGTGAATGCAGGTGGTATTCGTCTCCAAATTGATGGCATTTAACGATAAACTTTACCCCTTGGCTCAGCATCATAATACAGAAAAAAATGATTTTAATCTATGAGCGCTGAAATACCAGCTAGGGATCGTGGTAAGTAACAATTTTCAAGAGCAAATAGTTAAAATAAAAGTTGATCATGTATAAACGCAACTGATTGTCGTCTTTCCGGCGTTTTATCAACAATGGCATGTCCCCTGATGATTCACGAAATATACTCCAAAAAGAGAAAGATTCCCATGTAGTTTTTAAAAACTCGTATATACCACAAAAGCCTAGATTAAGGAAATATACATGCAAAATCAAAGCGGAAGGTTGAGGGATCTTCAAACGGAAACATTGACTGAATCTCGCAAAAATCAGAGAAAGAGTTCAACAAATGAAAAGTGTATCGTTGACAATCCGAGTCTAATTATATGTGAGAGGATTTGCCACATTGTGTTACAATGGAGTCAGACAACCATCTTTCAAGCCAGTTGCAGTCAAATACTAAGTGTAATACATCTGGATAGTGGTAACAGATCGATGCACTATTTAACCCAGAAATGAGCAGATTTCATGATACACTGGACAATGTCATTTACTCGTGTAATACCTCCCTAGTATTTGCCAACATAGTAGATTAGTTATATGCTTTGAAGGCTGAAGATTCAGTCAACTTAGTAGATTAGTTATATGCTTTGAACGCTGGAAATTCATTTCAGATCAGAGTGTTTCTCACAGAAATACATTTCATACTCAACAACTGAAACGACTCATGCCAGTGGTGGACGGATGGCTGAAAGTATTGTACAACAAAAGCAAACTTCGATTGTGACAAGGAAGACCACAATGAATAAATTGCAATTAAAGGCTTTATTAGTGAGTTTTAACTAATCAGATTACGTGTAGGTGATAAGGCTGATGAGCCGGCAATGCATAAATCACTGAAACTACCGGAATTTTCGAAAATGTCGGCAGTAGAAATCTTCAACATGGGTGAGCCTGATCAGGATGTAACTGCGGTTGCAATACTGGCCAACGATTTGTTCTTAGAGAAGGGCTTGTCACTCGAACAGCACATGCCTCTCATTCAAGAGCTGTTTAAGAAAACTGACGCTAATGAGGTAGCGAGCGCAAACATCGCGAAGCTACTACAACAGACCTGTCCAGAAAATGTACTTGCGTAGAGGATTACAACGTGCTAATCATTGACACTCTGCGACGTACTCCAGTCGACTATTTTCTAGAGAAGCTAAAACGCCACGAATGAGCTTAATAAACGTTACAAGCACATACAAGCCATCCATTTGCAGATGCTCAAGGTCTCACGCTATCGAGTAATACTGTACTATGGACAGCAAGTTAAGATAGATAGATAGACCAATGCGCAGATTTTAACAGTAGATGGCAGTAGTGGGCGCCCTTCTGACCTATCAGCGAAGACGTTCTACGAATTCACGGAGAACTACACGAAGGCTGCTGCTAATGTACAGGGATATCGTATGAGAGCAAACAATATCAAGCGTATTCGAGTTCCACATCCCATCTCTCAAATACCCTTACGCAAAGTAATGACTCAGAAAGGGAAGCCCCACATGCAGCGGGAGGAGACCCGCCTGGAGGTGGCGACTGCCAAATAGGCCTGAGAATACCACTCCTGTAACACGGCTAGTTATGAGATCTCCTCGGGCATGACCACACTACGATGCAGCACCTTTCCCATACGTGTTTAGCAAGTGCACTCTGTACAATAGGAGACAAGTAATCAAAAGAAAGCTTTAGAACGTCAACGTGCGGCACAGAACAGCCAAAAGAATATCATTGTGGGAAATTCAACCATCACCAATGGTAATAAGGTTAAAGTGATCGATAAAAATATATAACCTAAAAACAGTGGTGTGCAGAAGCTATAAACATGATCAATATGGTAGATATAGTGAATGTAAACGTACACAATGAGACGTTGCTATTAAATGCAAAAGGCATTGCTAACACACGGCTTTCTGTTCTTCCCAACCCACGAGACCAACGAAAACCTATGTCACACATATCAATGGCAACAATTACAATGCCTTGGTCGATTCAGGAGCACAACGCTCATACATTATTCTTATCAGTCAACGTGAGACTTAGATATATACATACAGCTCGCACAGACAGATGCAAGAGTACAACGCACAGACACAACAGAAGTATGTGACATAACCATGAAGGAAGAATGCAGCTCGCTGCTTTAAGACACTCGATCTCCTTAATTGACAAATATATAAACGAATAGCACCCACGCAAATGAATGTGCCTCTACTCTCTACTGGCGAACGTTTTACAGAAAGTACATACATGTCTATATTCAAGAGATATCAACTATCAATGGATTACCAAAAATAGAAGAGATACTTCACAACCTTAGAAGGAGCGTAATTCTTCTCCAAACTAGACTTAACGGGAGCCTTTCATCACTTCTTTATAGATGAAAACGCAGACACTTCTTAATATTCACGAAAAGAGAAGCTCAATACTCAAATTAGCATGATTCGGCTTCATCCACGGACAGCACAATTCCAAGGAGTCGCGGAAAATTTGCTCATAGATACAAAAAGAGTACAGGTGTATTTAAATGATATAGTAATAGCGAGTCTTACGGAAGAAGAACACTGTCACACGGCACGGAAGGTTATGGCAAAACTAAACAAAGAAAATTTCCGTTTGAACAAGTTGAAGTGTGCTTTTGCAGTCAAGACAGTTAGTATACTGGCGGTGAAGTTACGACTCAAGGACTCAAAACAGATCCTGAGAAGAGCAAAATGCATGGTGAACTGGTCACTACCCAGAACAAAACAAAACCTAGGCTGAGCATCGGGACTCGCAAACTACATGCAAGACCATTTCCGCAGTTTGTTTATAATACAAAACACTCCGCAATCGCATGAAGGGAAAAATGCACCAGAACACACGTTTATGGTCTCCAGATTTGAAGAAAAAGTGGGAAGAACTAAAACAACTCGTGGCATGCTCTACCACACTAGAGTATCCGATAGGCTGAGTCCGGTTCCAAATCATGAATGACACAAGGAATCGTGGCACAGAAGGTTGTGTTGCTGATGGGATCAGAAGAGACATGATATATAAAATGACTAATATTTGCACAGCAGCGTTGTGAAACAAACATGGAAGAACTACTCGCACTGATTTACAGTCTGGAACATTTTTCAAATTTATAATGGGTGGTGACATAACATTATAGACGAATCACAAAGCATTATCACAGATGACCCGACAACAGTGAACATACCCTACTGCACATACTAGCGAAAAGGATAGCAACGACCTTCCACAACCACTTCACCATCATTTGTGTACCAGGTAAAGACAATGCGATGGCGGACCGGCTGTCTCGATATACGACGATGTATTCAATATCGTCGGAAGTAATGAAAGAAACTAACAAAAACACACGCACACAAAACACACACAACGAAATAGTTCACAAATGAACAACACGCTCACTTTGGAAAAAAATGAAATGTATTCTCCACTGGTGTGTACATCTAGATTTCAAAGTTTATACTGAAACATATTTTATTCACTTTTCATGAGATAGCATTCTTGAATTCAATTATACTAACTTATCACATATCACGCTGAAGCAACTGAGGGTAGCCTAGAGCAGTACACAAATCGGTTCAGACTTCTAAATCACAAAGACATTGTTATGCACACCACACATCCCAAGCAGCGCCTATCAATTAACAATATATAACACTGTTCTTCAATTTAGCTGAATAACATTTACTCGTCGGATGATTGCTAGCTTTTTGCCACACTGTGAACCGAGAAGAACCATCATGCCCTTCGCACAGTTCTCCAAGAGTACACCTTTTATCCGCTATTCTACATTATTTTAAGTGAAAAGAGTGGTCAGTAAGTTAAACTTTAGATTGCAAAATGTACAGATTTGTTGAAATGTCAATTAATGCGATCATGTTACCTAGTATTAATTAAAAATCGTTATCTCATACAAAGGGAGTCTTGGGTGATTGCGAATAAAGGGGCGCAGCAAAGTTGGAGTCTAATCCACACAGGTGGCGATGAAAAGCCGCAGTGACATGTTACAAATGGATGTTCAATTTTCCGTTAACAAGACCCCAACTATTTGAGTGGGCGGTGTAATCGTTCCAGGTGCAAGTGGCCGCGGCCTTGCCAATACCATAGTCTTCATCAGTATTGACTACCAGATCTTGTACTTAAAAACTTGCCTTCAGTACGTCCTAATATGGGGGAATGTGGTAGACTATGATCGATAGTATAGATGCAAGGTAGTTGCTTCATCACTAATCCAGACTATTGGATGTATTGTAGCAATGCATCGGAAAATGTGTACATACGCCCCAAGAGAGGTACTTCAAGACAGCAAGACGATATTAGCTTCCGAGATAGCCCACTACAAAACTAAAATCGGGTTCCAGCGCACGCGCATCATCCAGTTCCTGCAAATGATCGCCGATAAGTAAATGTAATCTCTGGCATTATTATACCAACGTATGGTACTGGTGGCGAGTTTAGGGGTGTGGCCGATGTTGTAAATTGTAGCAGGCCATCAGACACAAACAGATTTAATGAGAGACTTAACCAGTGAGGGTGAATTAGGAAGGATAACAGTAAAGGTAGTCTGCAAAAAGGAGGTATTTGCCGCTGATACAAATCGGCGAAAGTAGTCGTGGAGTGTTATGCCATCGTATCTACGTCCATGTGTCAACGAAGTTGACAACCGCTGTATGAGGGAATAAAAAGATTAATCGCCACACATGCCTCCTTTCTAAAGGGCAACTAGGTTTGTTGCGAGTAGATAATATGCATTCTATACGGTCCATAACAAATACAAGCTGCCAGGATTGCCTTGTGTACGGTAGATGCCATATCTATGAGGAATTTCCTAATAGAAGCTACGCATGTCCAACCTCTTGATTTTCAAGCACTAATTTCACACTAAACCGTATATTCCCGAGATTAAATACACGCATCGGCGGTCCTAAGGATAACTTAAATGAAAATGATCTTATTCATTCACACCCCAGTCAAACTAAACATCGATTTATTTATATTGCATTACATGTCGAAATCCAAGTCCCACTGTGTACCGATTTATCATGCCAATTGTAAATATAACGACTTGTGTATGTCGCGTTCCAGACAGAAATTCGAAGCAGATAATTGCTATCGTTTAGCAGTCAAGTTTTTGTTAGTGTAACCTTGCACGGGCAAGATTAGGCACCCTCAGGAAAAAGCAGAGCATAATCCAGGTGGGGGGTTGCAGAGATGTGCAATACTCGCTCAGTGTGTGCATACTGGCTTTGTGCGATGAAACGCTAGCTACATATGATTATACCCGATGTACGAGTGTATACGTGCACTCCATCAACATACTATAGAAGTGAGCTATATAATTTTTTACGTACATACATATATATATATATATATATACATATATACATACATACATACATTTATATACATACATATACATATATATATATATATTTATATATATATATATATATATATATAAGACATATATTTGAATACGAACGCAACGAATAAAATTGCACAACGATTCCGCTTACATGTTTATATTCAAGAGTATGCGATGGGAATGTAAATACGGTCGAACCCTACATTTCGAATGATAATATACGCAGGGGCTTGAATCTTTATTGTAATATTATAGTTCGATTAAGGGTATTTTCGACTAAGCTAAACAGAGTTGCGACGTTTGCTCTGCACAGTACGATTACAGATTTATGATCAGCTCCCGGTTTACGGGGATTGTATATATTTCAGAGTCTCTGGATTGTATCTCGGATTTACAACTTTAAGTAAGCGCAAGTAATGCTTCTCCTCCTGTGGAGAATTTGAAACCACATGCGTGTCCAAGATGAGGAAAACGGATGAGAGTATATACACAACAGCCGCAACATAGGTACAAAGGCAGATATATACGCATGCCTGAAACTGAAAACGAACACGAAGGCTTGCACAAATTTCACGACGACCATGGCGACAACCAACAAAGTGTACAAATATATGAATATGCATTTCAGCTTCAGTGTGCAGTGCATGCGAAGTCTACGTACCGTCATGCCCTGCTTTAACTCCATGCCTATTTTTTTCCGGTCTAACACTGTCGCTGGCTCGGTGACTGTGTTCATATATTCGTCTAAATCCAGATCCTCCGCTGGCTGTTTGTTTTGTTTGACTGTTCAAGTGCGTAGTTTCCCAAAGAAGAAATAAAAATGATTGAGCCGGGCTATTACGTCTGTCACAATTGTTTTCCCCACAAATTTTACTCACTCTATACGACCTTCATTAGTGTCAAAAATACTAAAAAAAAAATAGGATACGACATTATACACATAAACACAACCATTTATATACAGTCAGATTATAATGCAAACATACGTGCATACTATAATTTCATGTGCTAACCAATAAAGTCACTAAATTTCAAATTGGGTGTCAATCCTAGTGAATGCAAGAATAGGTCCCAATAATACCTTCTTTATTCTCACGCAGAAGGCGTGTGCAGACCTTGCGTCTTTGGTATATCTTCGTGAGCTTCTCCTTGAGAGTATCGAAGGTCTCTACTTCAGGTTTCACATCCTTGTCTCCGGCCGCCTGTAAGTGGTGTCGAAAGCATTTTGCGGTATATGATTAGAGACGATTCTGAAGTATGGCCGTGTGCTGTCCGTCTACAATTGTACACACGCTTTGGCACAAAAACATACAATTTGTACATATACATACATACACATACACATATACATGCAAACACCCACACCGACACCGACACAGCAATACACACACACACATACAAATATAAACACAAACATAAACGCACACTGACACTCACACAAATATATTTACATATACGTATGTATAAGTATATATTTATATATGTAAATATATAAACATACATACATCTATCCTTTCATCCATCCATCCATTCGTACATATACATATACACAGACGCAGACACAGATATATATAAATATATATATATACATACATATACATATACATATACATATATATACATATATACACACACACACACACATATATATATATATATATATATACATACATACATATATATACATACACACACTATATATATATATATATATATATATATACATATATATATATATATATACACATACATATACATTACATACAAAAACATACATTTTAAGAATATAAATGAACAATAAACACAATATGTTCAGCTGCAATAACGTGAACAACATACAGCAACTATGATAGCTCTTCCACATGTAACAAATTGTATAGCATAAGGTGGAAGTGTGGCGTTCTACCTAGTAAGTAGTTTCACACGACCCTGCCCCCGCACACACACCCGCTTATCAGGGGCCAGTCGCTTCATTCTGTTATTCCTCCTTTTTTTAACGTCGCCAGTTCGATCCAGAAATTCGTCGTCATCTGAACTATAGTAATCGTCATCGGAATAATTTCTGCGCTTGATTGCGGTTGCTGTAGTCTTGCGAGCTATATGGCGAGAAAAGATAGAGTAAAGTTGGTGTGTATTGCGCCATACAAATCGGCGTTGTAATTTCCATGCGAGCTTTCACATATAGAAACTGCACTGAGAACACACTTACATGGACGCGGATAACATACAAATACATACATGAGGAAAACAGGCCATGTGCACTCAACATCTGACAGGCATTGTAGCAGGCCAGTCGTTCTGCGTCCCGTTTGCGGCCACATTGTCCCTCCACCACAACTAAGTCACCCGACGCAGACTCTATGGGCAACTCGATCTTGACTAGGAAACCCTTGTTTTTCTGTGGTATGGATAATGAAATAAACACATTGTGTGAGTGAGTGAGTGGGTGCGTGAGAATGATAATGTGTGAATGAGTGTGAGTGTGACTTTGGCTACCTCGACCTACTTTGTTATTTGTCAAATGATTCCGTATGTAATTCAGAGGCCGGTTGGAAAGTTATAATCAGAGTTTATTTGGAGACAATTGTTCGTAGATATTGCGCATACACTTGCAAATATTCAAACCACACACTCGCGGGTACGTACTATACTTCGACCTATTGTTGACATGAGCGTAATCCAGAGATTCGCTGACAAAGACACGGCCAGAGTTTTCCTGGAGACATTTTCATATAGCAGATACATCTGTCAGCATATAAAACATGTTTGCCAATACATGTCATATGTATACATACCGGTAACATGGTGATATCTGGAGTGTAATCCAGAGACTCGTTGACAAAAAAATTGGTCAGAGTCTTCTTGGGGTCTTTCTCCCAGCGCCTTTCCTTATCACTGCTACTTGCCGGGGCCTGGTCTGCATCGAACCGCTGTTTGGCGAGTACCCCTGTGTAGGATATTAAGAAAAGTGTGGAATATTAAGCAATGTGCGATATTTGTTCATAGCGTAACATTTCAAATTATGCGATTTTAGAACATCGTGCGGTGCTTACGCATTCTCGAGTCAAAGGTGCGCCAGGTGCCCAGTCCAAGGCCCTGTATATAGACTTAGGTATCGCGTGAGAAGCCAAGACATGAACAGAAGTAATCATACCGGTCATGGAGATATGCGCACGCGACATACACCTGCAACTTTCATTGGTACATCTATCAAAAAGCAAATACAACCTCCTGTCTACTGCCCCTGCTGATCACAGACACTCACCTTGCCATATCATACGTCAGCGATACGAATAAATATCCCCGACTATCACGCAGACCGAACTCTACCACATCTAATGCATAATATACATACGTACGTGTGGTTCACAACAGTCCACTTTACACATTCATGCCTTCTGTTTGCATCGTATTTTTTCTCTCGCAAACCTATCAATCCTCACCAAGACATGGCATATAGCCACGCTTAACACCTCTGAGGGGCATCTACAATCACACACGTTTCATCCGCACATGTAAAACCCATATGTAACAACCATATGCATTATATAGGCTCCAAGAAAAACATCTGAGCGTAAAGTATATACGTTACAATACGTTACAAAACACACTTACACACATACATACACACACACTCACACACATACACAGACACATAAACATATCCAAATATATAGACATATAGATATATATACACTAATAAAATAGTCACATCAAAACATACCGTCTCTGAGCATCATGTCGGCCTGATCAGCATCGTCGTCTTCCTCTGCATCCTCGGCCTGTCCCCATGATATGCCTTCGCAGGCCTCGGCCTCTTTTCGTTCCTTTTTCTGCACAGAATGAGTGTGCGTTAAAGTATAGCACCGATGTAATTTGCATACATTTTTATAATATAAATAAAGACAAAGACATATTGCCTAGGAGCGAATGTGCGTTTCTACGTGTGCATGGATATCCATCATATTTTGGGGCCAGATACCACTAAAAGTGAGATAAAGATAGGTGTTGATGACCGTGAGCTTCTATATAAAACTGGGTATTTCTTCTTCATATATTTCTTCACTTTGTGATGTATCCTGCAACTGACCAACAAGTGATGCAAGTCTTCTGACCACCATTTCAGGGATAAACCAGGAGCATACAAGCCCTATCCTCACACCCGAAGGTAGCGTGTATACCCATGTCGTACCATGGCCCTATTTCTCAACTTGGCAACTCTGCCCAAGCAATATCGCTATGCAACTTAATACTTCAGAGTGCGAGGCGCATAAAGTATTGTTAATAAACAGTTTAGAAAGGGCTGCCTATTATTGTGAAAAGTGTTTCCGACTGCTGCGATATGAACCATGGCTGATTAATGAGCTGTTTCTTCCTCCGTCATCTTGTACATTCGAGTAATATACATAGTAGTAAGGCCGAGAATTATACACCCATTCGCAGGCGTCGCATACCACCTACTACTACGCATGGGCGGCTACATAGTCTGCAGCTCCCTACAACTTGTACAGTTACATTGACTCAAAGATCCCATGTGCAGATATATTATAACAGCATCTTCTGACTGTTTATGTCAGCAACACACTTACCAACTTCTGCTGCAGCATTTCTTTTTGTTCAGCTATCCGTTGCTGCCGTAATTCCTCAGTCATTTCTTCCTGCTGTTGCGCGATCTCGGATGGACCAGCCAACATGAATAACCTGAATCGAAATAGATATGGTTTTTCATAAATTCCTATTAGTACTATTAACAAGATGACTAACCACGGTATAGATACCCGAGTATACCGAGTATATATGTAAATACTGTATGGTGGCTTCATAAGGCCACGCGAATCAAATATACTATTTATGGAACAATGTATACTATGTTCTGCAGAAGCATGTTTACAATGTGGTGTGTACAACACCGCAGCACTCGCAAATGGAGCGTGTAAGGTGATACCCTGCAATTTAGATTGATACTGAATAATCAAAATGTATGTATGTTATATGTATGTCTATCCACCGGTATATACCCGTGTAGAGATGTATGTAATTATATGATGACGCATGTGCAAGGAAGAATATTTATGACGTCCAATAGATAGATGTACATACACATCCACGGCACACCTCACATACTCCAACTGAAATCCATATTTGAAACAATCGTAACACATTTCGACAATACGAGCAGTCCTACAAAATGGCATGTCGTGGAGAAACATGGTAGTGGTCTACGTACGCACATGGCAGACAAAAAACACACATAACCAGCATACATTCAAATATTACGCAAACGTACGTCAATGGTGTTGTGTGTAATATATACAGTCCCTCCGGAGTTTAGCAACTTCGCAAGTCTTAGCCCTAGAATCATCACGGATATTCAAGTATTAAATAAAAATGAATAAACTACAACTGATTGCTAGAGACTGGCACTTGCACCGAGCACAAACACATACATCAAATTACACACATGCATATACACACAACCGTTTATATATACATACACATATACACACATACATACATACACACACACACACCTATATATATATATATATATATATATATATATATAGTATAACATAATATATATAAATATAATATATATTA